ACTCACAATTCCAGGGTCAAGTGGGTACGGGTATCATGTGAGTAAAGGTACTTTGTGGGTACTTAAGAGTACTCACTGAGTACTACATAAATCAATTACTTAGGTAATTATCTAGTTTCTTCTGGGCGGGCTCATACACACAGGCATGATTGTCACCTCTACAGCTTGAAACGCTCGCCCTAGCGTCGCAACTCACCTTGATCGCCGGAATGTTCTTATGTATCTCGACTTTGACTGTCCTCAAACCAATCCTCTCAGTGGTGGAAGGAAGGTACTTCCATCCCCGTCTCTTTGGGTTCATCAAACTGGGGAGAGCCATCAAACTTGGTGGGGTACCAATTGCAGTGCCATTCCACTTTTCAGGTCATTGGTAGCTTTGGTTCGGCGAGTCTCTGGCACCCAAACCACAGTGGAGTAACAATAAGAAGCAAACACACGGTATGTACCATAGCAGTATACTCACAAAATACTCACCGAGTACTCACGAGTACTCACTGGTACTCACTTCGAAGTACTCACCGAAGTACTCACCGAAGACTCAAAAAGTACTCAAAATCCGGAGTCATGTGAGTACGGGTACTGAGTAATACTCACATTTTCTGAGGTCATGTGAGTATGGGTACTGAGTATACTCAGTACTCAGTACCCGTACTCACATCGAGTACACGCAGCGTGTATTTCATGTGAGTCCCACACCCTGTGTTGAAGCCACAAGACAGCTTTAGATGGTTATATGGGTAGATGGGGTAATGTTACCGTAAAGCTAAAGTTAGACTACTGAGTAAAATAGACGACCCAGCTAGCTAGCTAGTTTGTATTTTAATTTTTTGATACAAAAATTTTGTTACCTTAGTTTCCTACGGTAAGTCGCTTCACGGTTGTGTACCGAACACGATCAGAATGCACTGTAAGCTTCTTCCAAGAAGCCTTTCCGTCTCGGACTCTTTGAACCCAAATTTATCCGTGAGGTCTTTTTGGTTTGACACTGGTGAAAGGACGTGAAAAATATTAATAATAAAACAGGGTTTCGAGGCCTGTTCTTCGATGGTCTCCTCCGAACAAAATAATGATTTAAGTCTTGTAGTGCGATTTTACTGGTCGACGCATGGTGTTCGCTTCTCCTTGAAGTTGCGCAACCGATTTACCATGCAAGCGTACATGCAGACATGCAGACAGGCAGAGTGCGAATTTGGAGGTGAGAACTGTGATGAGAGCTGATGAGTAGATAGACTACAGTACGATGCAATCACCTTCTGCCAATTATTATCTGTCAACCCATTCAACGGATTTACAACAGTGGCCCAACAGTCCAGGCCAATCCGAGCTCGGTACTGGTATGATAGCTGGTAGTTCAGTTGTTCAGTTGCCAATGTATGTGACGCTGTAGAGCAAGCAGTTGCAGTAGTGGGCTCCGTACTGGGTTCACGACGAAGCTGTCAGTCGAGCTATCATACCCAGGAGTATCAAGTTTCTCCTGCGCAGTTTGTTTATACCAGTTTGAGAAGCCCAAGTCATGACCACAGTAGATTGGTTGTCAGGCAGTAAGTAGATTTATGATTTATTTGATGCAGTGACTCCGAAGCTGTTACGCTAAAAGCTTCCAGGCAAAAAGGATCTCTTCTCTCACAATTTTTCTTTTCCACAGGAGAAACCCAAAGCACCCACCCACCCGTTGAAACATCCTTTCCATCACGATGATGTCTGCTCAATCGTCTACCATTATTGAAACTTTGAAGGAAGTTACACGCCTCAACAATGAGGGAGTGCGCTTCCTCGCCATTTGCCATCCTTCCGAAGCTCACAAACGCTTCAAGGCTGCTTTGGCCATGGTGAACACTCACTTGGGTGCTTCCGAGGACTTTGTGTTGGATGCTGCTCCTGGTGTCGGCGCCCCTCAGTTGGCTACCCTTGCCGTTCCAGGCATGGAAGATGATACCTTCTACATCCACAATCAAGCTCTCGCATTCAACCTCGAAATGTTTGGATCCCCCGAAGACTTCCAAATGGCAAGCTCTTTCTTGGTCTTCAACCTCGCTCTCTCGTGCCACCTCGGGGCCATGAAGACGTCCTCGGAGCCCACTGCGAGAACGGCTTGCCGCCTCTACGAGATGTGCGCTAACCTTGCTTTGAGTGAAGAGGCTTCCACTGCAGAACTTGACTGTTTGGCTTCCTCTCTGGCCGTGGCCTCCATGAACAATGTCGCTCAGCTCACCTACCGTCTTGCAGGAAACGCACCCAAAGCTGTGGAGATCTTGAACAGCCTAAACCCAAGTCCAGAGCTGACTCAAACTTCCTACATGAGTCCAGAGCAATTGGACGAAATCATCCTCAACATCTGCACCATCATGGCTACACCCGTGGTCGCAGCATCTGCTGCCTAACTGGGCTGCACCCAGCACTGCGGTTTTCCGTGTACATAATCAGACTGGCAGGCGATACCGGTATGCATGCATCGGGGAAGAATCCAAATAGATCAGTAAATCATTACTATTAGACCACATACAGTACTTATTTCTAACTTTTTTAAAGAAACGAAGTAAACGTTCAAGCAAGTTGCTATTTTTGATAGTCGCAACAGTTTCTTACAAAGCAGGAAGCAGCATTTAGTGGAGAATCTGTGCTTCTTCTGCTGGCTACTTGTACCTACTGCCAATTTCGAGGACGATGTTGGCTGGCACCATGCGTTCGTATAGCGTCCGCTCACCGGAATGCACATGGATAAGCCAAGGGTGGGTTCAGACTTCTTTATCCACCTTTTTACCCCAAGCAATCTGAGTTCTTCTTTCGGTCAAGAAGGCTACTCTAGAGTACTAGTATCACACAAGTGTCTCCGAAGTCTTAATGGATTGGATGCGAGCTTCTGGGGCTACGATGTACAATTTCATGTATTTACAGCGCATGAGAGTGCGGTGAAGCTCTACTTTTGAACCAAAGTTGTACGTCCGTCAGCGGAGAATCTCTCCCCATGATGCTTCCGAGATGATCTTGTGCATCACATCTGAGTTTGGGAGAATCGAACGGTTCAGGCCAACGATCATAGACTCATAGACTGTTGCCGATGGCTACTAGTTCATGTAGGGAGCCTACTAAAATAGGGGTTCACCAATCATTCTTCTTGGAGAATCTTGTTTCGCTGCTTCGTATTCTGGTCCGAGAGTTCGAAGCGAGGCTTCGTAAACCCAGGACAGCTGAAAGTGGATGGTGCCACGGTGGCTGCACATTGCAGCTAATTTGCACATTGCAAATCGCACCTCGCGTGGTGGTTGCCTTCTATGTATTCTTCATCAAACAGTTGGGCCAAGAGGTGCCAAGATACTACCGCAGTAGTGGAATAGTGACAGAGATGCGAACGCCTCAGTTCTGCCGCCTGTCCTGCTTGAGTGGCCCTCTTCCAAATCAAGCATGTAAACTACTGTACGAAACTCAGCGCAGCAGTGGTGGCCGCAAGAGTGACATCCATGCGATCTGTGAAGAACTTCGCGAAGGCATATTGAACATAGCTTTGAACATTCAGGAGAAGTTGAAGGAAGAAGACGACAGTTTCTCCGAAGCTCTCCCCGCCACGCAGCGGTACTGGGTTTGGTCGTTTGGTCGCATTATTGGAATGCGATGCGACCTTCTGCGTGCACAACTTACGGTATCGTACCGGTACCAGTATCATAGTACTAGCTAGTACCTCTACTAGTACTGGTAGAGTAGCGCTAGACCGATGCGCGGCGAAGCTGCATTCTCTCGATCTCCAGCTCAGATACTGAGATACCGGTACGCACTAGTACGGTACAGTGAGGACTTCTGAGTAGGCTCTACCGGTACTCGTATCAGGTTCTTTTGTGAAAGGCAAGTTGAAGTCAGCGAAGAAGTTCGGCCAAACATGCCCAAATCATTTGCTTCCAAGATGATCTTGTGACATCTGAGTATGATCTTGTGACATCTGCAAGCTCATCTATCTGAGTTTGCAATTGGGAGACCGTGAGACCGTCACTCGCGATCTCAGCGCCTCCACTCTTTGAGTGGTGAGTAACTAGTACCGAAACAATGTGTACTGTACCACCGGACCACCGCTTCCTGTAGAGCAAAGAACAGCTAAAGAACGTTCACTAAGTACTACATACGGTACTCCTGGATAGTCCATTAATCAGTATTAATAAACGCGAATTTGCTCGACCTCATTGGAGTTTTCCGAAGCCTTCTACAGAACGCGGAACGTGGCACGAAGAGCTGCCCGAAGGCCGCGAAGAGTACAGAAGCGAAGCATCATTCTTCTCTCCAAGGCCATTACCAGGTAAAATTTATGCTGTTCAGCATGAGAACCAGCAAGGATTTGTTTTTCGCCGTCGCCTTCTGCTACCCTTCTCACAATATCTTCATCATCTATTCCAAGAAGCAACACTTCATCTAACACAAAATCTTATCAACATGTCGTCGAACCTTTACGCCACAATCCATGAAGCCACCCGCCTCAACCACGAAGGGGTGCGCTGTCTCGGCGCCAACGACAGCCAAAGCGCCCACCGCCTTTTCAAACAGGCGTTGGCTGCTATCAACTCGAGCTTGGCCAATGACATCTATGAAGGCGATGACGAGAAGAGTTCCCACCCTCGAACGATCCCAACACTTGCACTGCCTATTGCTGGTATGGAAGACGACTTATTTTACGTCCACAGTCAAGCCCTGGTTGTCGATTTTTCTGTTTTTGGCCCATCTTCCAGTACTCTCCACATTGCCAGCACAGTCATTCTGTTCAACCTTGCTCTCTCTTGTCACAAGTATGGCATGCAGTACAGCGCCGAACCCAATCTCCGATCTGCCAGCCGCCTGTATGGACTCTGCAGCAACCTGGTGAATCAGCAACTTGAAGAATCTGAGACCTTTTCAGCCGCCGACGACTTGGCCTCTCTGGTTGCATTCGCGGCTTTGAACAACAAGGCTCAAATTCATTTCCGATACCTGGTTGATCCACAAGGAGCAGTTGATATTTTGAAGACTTTGAAGCCCACTGAGGCTATTCTGTCCATTGAATCACCCTTTTTGGAGCCAGCTCATTTGGAGGCGATTATGCTCAACCGCTTCACTCTGGCGGGATCGGCACTCTTGCCGTCCGCAGCGGCTGCCTAACTTGACCGCGTCTTGCATCTGCTAGCCTGTATTACAATAACCGATACCACTATAGAGATTCATACTTTTTCAGTTTACGACATCTATCTGCTTTAGTCATCACATACATCACTTGCTGCAGGACATTAGGTGCTAGCTACTGTAGTCACTTCGTGTGAACCAAAATCGTAGATCTTTGTTCACCGCTATCTGCAGAACGGTAGTTGTAGAGTAAGTTGCTTCCTTTATCCGAGCTAAGGATTGGCTGAGGTACATTAGGTACTAGTCATGCGTTTAGCACCTGCCGTGAGCCAGCTAGTGCCTCAAACAGCCAGGGGATACTATGCTTTTATAAAGGTTTGGCTCAATTGCTCTACTGCCTCCAGTCAGGCTAGTGGCCCAGTTGCTGAGCTCCATCGAATGTATCCCGACTAAGGGTACGCCACAAGACTGGTCTCTATTTCGTTCCCGTTGATCCCTAGAGTAGCTAGTTCCGTTTTCTGTGCCCTACCCAAGCTTGGCCACTGCCTTCCAAGCAAACCAGCCTAGCCATCATCAGCAAGGCCAATGCGAATGTGCAAGCCAGAGCCTAGCTAGGATAGTTAGAGCAGCAGTTCGGTCTTCTGCGCCCTATTCTTGGACAGTTTTGCTTCCAAGCTTCTGATGATGAGACGGTCTGTGCACGTGATATGGTCGCTGCGGACATCGTTGGGCCAATGCCAATGTGCAAGTCGGAGTGTAGTATGCAAAGTTAGAGTTGAGGGTAACGGTCAGAATTGCCTGATTTGCTTTTCACATGAAAACCCGAAATCTTCACTCCAAAACCTGACTTTCTTCAACTGTTCACCGGTACCAACGACTTGTTACAAGTCGGAGTCGAGTCGAGCCTCTCATTTATTTGCACATGCAGTCATCGTCCCGTTGTTGACGCTCCGATTGATTCTGACGCTGCCGCCAAATCCCAAAGCAAGACACAAGCACTCCTCCCTCCAAGAAGAAAGAAACCAATTCCTTATTACCACCATTATCACCATTATCAAGGCCACTTCCAAGTCTATCGGTATTCGTTTGGGTTATCTTATTCTTTCTGTCAATCCCATCTCGCTCAGAAAAAAGAAGAAGCATCCTCCTTTATCAACCAACTGACAACTTGGAGATTGAATCATTGGCTTGCTTGACCTCGAGCTTGCATACCAAAACCTAATTTGTGCGAGATATCTTTTAACGTTCGCCGAAAGCTGTCACATACACCATGACCAAGGGAATCAGCCACGATCGTCCTGTCACTATTACCAAGCAAATTACCCATGATCATCCTCATGTCACTAATAAGGACAAGGACAACCAGCCGCATGAGTATACCCCTCAGACGACTCGCATCAACGACAACAACTTTCGTCCGCTCTTCCGGAACTGCTTGGACCGTTTGTCTGCTTCCAATCCACACGCTTGTGATCATGTCTCTGACTGGGATGTTTCGGGCTTGACCAATTGCAGCCATTTCTTTTGGAAGCCAACCTATGATGGCATGAGTGATTGGATGCTCATGAGTCCAGGCGCCGAACTATTCAATGTCGATATCAGTCGTTGGCAACTCACTTCCTGTACGACATTAACAGGAATGTTCGGGAGCGTACAGTTCTAATAGCCACTTCAGAATTGG